CGGCGGGGCGGCCGGCGGGGACCCGGGGCGGGGGGCGGGTGGGCCCCACCCCCCCGGTCCGTGGGGCGAGGCGGGGATGTCCCCTCGGTGCGTGCTGGGTGTCCCCTCCGGAGGACCTTGCTTCTCCGGCAAGGGTGAGAAGTCCCGTATTTGTTACCTGGCAGCGGTGCTGGGGACTGAAGCTGGTTGGGATTTTTTTTATTTCTATCTTATAGAGGATGTCTTTTCTGTTCCTGGAAGCCTGAGGTGGTGCGGCAGGCTTGTGGGCAGATGGGGCTGATGCGCAGTCAGCGTGTGCGGGAGCGCGGAGCTGGTACCGAGGTGTTCTGGTGCTGAGGCCGTCGCCTGAGAGGAGGCGGGGGGAGGAGGTCAGAGAGTCCTCTCCTTTAAACGTTTCCTTTGCAGTAGTCTGTTACAGCTGAAATGTAATAGCTTTGATTACGAGGGGCTTGCTTCAAAAGCTGTCAGACCTAATGGTAACTTTGGGATCAGGAGGAACGTATTCTTGAACATCTTCATGGGTTGTTTGTTTTTTTTTTTTCCCCCAGCGATGTCTTTTTCCTTTTCATTTTCCCCTGTTGTTAATGAAATGCTTTCTGAAGTTCTGCAGTCCTCTCCTACATAGCTAGGAGGCTGGATGCTTGAGAGGTCTCGCAAAGCCTAGGTCTGCTCCCTTGTCTGTTTTCCCATGCCCCATGCTGACATGCAGGAAGCAAGAAAAAAAAAAGCTGTTGTAATTCTTACTGATGGTGCTAAACTGCTGCCACTTTAAAAAGATTCATGTTGGTAGATATGTGTTGAGAGGAAAGGGGACAGTTGCTTGAATCCAGAGTGGTTAGGAAGATGATCTGCGTTTTCAGATACACCTGATGGTAACATTTAAAAAAAAAATTCAAACTTTTCAGACTAGAAAGTAGGTAGTAAAGCCGTTAATCCTTTTTCCCCATCTAAAAATTTTTGCTCTTTCTTCCAGGAAGTTAATCTGTCTCTACCAGTTTAGGCTTAGTTAGGATAGTAATATTCAGCATCTCCTTTGGCTGGGTCTGCAACACCTGCTTTTTGGTAACTTCTGTTGGAATAACAGATGTTGGAGATTCCTTCCTCCCAAGCGTTTTACTTAGCTCTTAGAGCTCTTACCATCTTTCCAGGTATCAGGGTGTCTCTTTCTGGTTCCCAGTGTCCCTCTGAGTTGCTCCTTGCTTCTTAGATGTCCTTTACCAAGCTTTTACATAACGTGGTCCCTCTGTGAACTTGATCCCCTCTTCTTTGCTGATAATCTCTGTTTCATTTCAGGGAAGCTGTTCCCATGGCGTGTGGGGAATGCAACGCTTCAGCACCTGCTCAGGATCTAGCACGCAGGAACATCATCCACTTCCAGCACAGAGAACTGAAGTGCAGATAGCAGAACCCAGCTGCAGGGTAAGGGCTACAGGCCAGCTCTTGAGTGGTAAAGTAAAGCCAAAAAAATAACCAGGATACTACTTAAACACAGTTGCAAAGCACAGGGCAGTGATGAGAACTGATAAGGAGCAAGGAGGAAAGGTGGTTGATCAGAGGGTGATATGGGGAGAGTGGTGGTATGCTAATTAAATTCTGCGAGCACTTAGTCAGCTTGAAGATCAAAAAAGAGTAAAGGAACTGAGCATTGTCCAAAGTAGAATATAACTGTTATATATTCCCCCATACATCTAACTGCTGGCCAGATAAACCCCAACTTCTCATTGCACTAAACAGTAAATATTTGAAGGCTGTCCAGTAAATGGTTTGGTGACTGCTGCCTAAAAGGAATGCAGCTGAGAAGTAGCGAGAACTGTTCACTTTGGTAGGTGCTCTTCCTTTTCCTGTAGGGTGATGTTTGTGTTGCTGTATAGCCATCTCCTAGGCAATTTTTCACAGTGAACTCGGGAGTGCACTGGCTAGTCACCCACGTGGGTGTCAATTAGGCAATGACAGAAACTAGTTGCAAGAAACTCCCTGCTTCCTTGGTTTTTCGCTCGGATAGTGGTGAAAAATATTGCAGAATTCTGTGCTTATCTTCAGGATGAGAAGTGCTGTCCAGATTGGCCATGTTCTGAGCAGCAAGATGTGCTGTGCGTTGCTTCCAGAACACAAGTATCCCTAAGACTTGTCTGATGTTCTGGTTAGTGTTCTGGCAGTTCACCGATTTATTTTTCGTGCTTATCCTCTCATGGTATTTGGAAACCTTAACTCTATTAATGTAGGTCAATATGCATAAATATTTACTTAAAGTATGCCAGAAGCCATGTGTTAAGCTAATGTTTCCATGTTTGAAATGTGGAGTGCCTGAAGCCTTCCAGTGATGACTTACTGAATGCTTAGAGTTGATTACATTCTAGTAAATGCTGCAGGCATTCAGAAAGATGGTCTGTGGTTTGGGGTTCTCTGATACTTCTTTTAAATAAGCAGTGGAGGTCAAATGTATAAGTTACTGTGTTATTGCTGTGTGATTGGAGCAGGCTTATTTAGAGGCCTTCATGTAATTCTTCCACATTCTAAAGGAGGATTTTGTTCAGTAGAGTACTTAAAAGGAAGTGAAACTCACTTCTGGTGTTAGATTGAGCCTAACTGGTGTGTAGGAAAACAGAGGTGCAATGTCAGGTGAGTGCTGATGCAGCATAGAGGAGCAGGGTTTAGTAGTTTTGTGTGGGGCTCCTTAATGAAGGGGGGGGATGCACAGATATTGTTATGGTAATTATTAAAAATTAATGTATTCAGCTGCAGTGTGGTGAGCCTGCTTTGTGCATTTTTTCAAGTGTTTTCAAAAATAGCCTCAGTTTAGGATATGCACACTAATGGTATGGGTGTTTAACAGTCTACATGCTTTGAAGAGCATATCTTGAATGCTTCCAAGCAGCTTTTTCCTTGAACTGTTGATGTGGTGCATGTATTTTGTATTGCAATTTGAAATCCAGTTCATATAGCTGGATTATACGTGCCCCTCCTGCTGCTATGAAACTACATTTGAAACTAAAAACTGTTCAGTCATGACCTCCCTGCTGAAATAATAGTGCTTCCTTCTCCTTGTGTACTAAGCATTGTTAACGTTTGCTATAAAATTACCTTGGCAAGTCACAAAGCTCCTCTTCTGTGACAAATTTGCAACCTGCTTCTCTAGCTACAGCGTACCTTTGTGCACAATAAAGCTGTGTACTGGACTAGTTAACAGGTTCTCCTTTAGAGTCTTGGTTTTATCAGATCTTGGTGATCAAAGGTTAGATGGTCTTTCCTTATTAATCGAGTAGTGCAGTCAGAAAATGTTCTGAGCTGGAAGTCGTAGTTACTGTTTTGGAGCTCATGGTCCTGAAGGCAAAGCTTATAGGGTATGGTGAATAGGTGAATATGTACTTATTCATCTTCTTTCCTCTGACTGAGACTAAATATTATTGTGCTGATAGCTGATGGCTGTCTTACCTTGCTTTGCTCTCATCTGCATCTTCTTTCATCTTAACTGGCTCATCTGTTTGAGCTTGAAAGCAGCTGTGGCAACACCCATGGATTTGTGCATGTTGTGACAGTCTGTCAACAATCAATTAAGATTATCCTTAAAAGTTTTTGCTCACTTTGAATCTAGTGTCTTGATTTCTTAATCTGTTGTTAGATATGTCAAAGCTCTGCTCTGTCCACCATTTCTGTCTTTAGCTGAAAACGGTTACCTTTTCTTGTATGACTCTTCTCAATGCTGGAATCAAATGCTGAAGAGCCTTCTCCTGCAGCTGATGAGGTGCTTGAAGCTGTTCTGGTTGTTAAAGTTAATGCTGTTCCTGTCTGTTTATCTTAAGTAGTTACTAACAGAGTTAATTCAATCACTTGCCTTCATACAAGGGAGTGTTTCATAGTGTCCTGTTGGCATAAGTTGGTTGTGCTTTTCCAAGACAAGCTCCAATGCCCTGTCCTTGAAGCATCTTTTTTTATGTCAAAGAAAATTAATTTTGGTTAGGAAGTCTGTGACCATGTACATTCATAATTTATAAGCTGATACAGACATTTTTCTCTGGTTTGCATCACTGTTGCAAGTCATCTGATAGCACTTAAATTTACATAGCTGTATGACACCGACATATAGTCCCTGCTCCAAGTGTCAGTGATGCTTATAACTTCAGACTGTCTTCAATTCTGTGCAGCTGGGGCAAAATGCTGTCAGAAGTCAGAAAATGTAGCAGGCCAAGCCAGGCCTCCATCATGGATTGTTCCGATAGTGCAGATGTTCTTCCCTGTACCTGTTAGGACAGGCTTGCTTGTGTGACGGTAAACAGGAGCTGTTGCACTAAACTGTTAAGAAAAGAATGTCAGTCTTGCATCTGAGAGGAAGAGTCAACTAAGGGGTAGCTGTAAAGATGATAGTGCTACCCATAGTGTAAGTGGATTATTCTTTTTCATGAGCTTCAGTAAAGATGTTGTGACCCAGTTGGTTCACTTCATCCTGATGTGTCTTGTGGCTTGGGTGGGGCTGAATGTTGCATACAGCTGCTGGATGGTTGCATGAAAACCAACTTGCATTGCTGTCAGCATTGAGTTCACTGGCTGTTCGTAAGTGGATTATTCTTTTTCATGAGCTTCAGTAAAGATGTTGTGACCCAGTTGGTTCACTTCATCCTGATGTGTCTTGTGGCTTGGGTGGGGCTGAATGTTGCATACAGCTGCTGGATGGTTGCATGAAAACCAACTTGCATTGCTGTCAGCGTTGAGTTCACTGGCTGTTCCACTAAGTGAAGAGTGTAAGTTCTGGCAGCTGCTGCTTCCGCTACTCTATGTGCTAGTCTAAATGATAAATGACCCTTTAAACTTCGCATGTTTGCTTCTCTGTCTCAGAAGACGCTTTGTCCCACAGGAGGGATTTATTTTTTTCATGCAGAAAGGACCTGATGTAGAGATAAGTTTGTTAGTCAGGGCTTTGGCATTTGGCTTCACTGCTGTTTATTTCTAAACAGCAAAGGGCAAAATCACTTGAGTTGTTCCATCTCATGTCTTGGACTTTTCCAGTTGATCATGTGGCTGTCCTTGTGCTTGGAAGGTCTTCTGAGGCGTGCCTGAAAGCAGCTCTGTTTCAGCCTCCTTTTTCTCTTTTAATTCTGGGCCTAATAAACATGGGGGTGGAGACACGTAAATTCCCAGTCCCATTTCTGACCTTACATTTCCTGGTTTTTGAACAAAGAGCTCTGTCATGCTCTTCTTTAGGATTTCAGGTGGCAGTATGCTGGGGAGGGAAGCTCTGCTCTGTTGAAAACTTATTGTAACAAGTTGTAGCTCGTCAATAATCAGGGCTATAGTCTTAACAGCATCAAGGTTTTTCTTTCCCTTATCTACCTCTAATGCTGTCAGTGCATGAACAACTCCCTCTTTCTCTGGGCTTCTGAGAGGTAAGAAATTCTACCAGCAGTGCTTGACTTCTGCTTTGTAAGTCCACAGTCTTCCAAGGAAATCCACTGAGAGTTAAGAATGTGTAGTGGAAACTAAAGAGTTGCAAGACCCAACATACAATGCATCCATGTCTACTTATCTAAAACTGTATTATGAGACTGCCTCACTTGGAAGCTGCATGCCACTAAAGGTGAGGAGGACTTCCCTGATTTCAGGGAGGTCCTGGAAGTAAGGGGTGGAAACTTAAATTCTTGTGCCCGTCATGAGATCTTGCGTGTAGTCCTATTTTGCCAATAGCTCCATTAGTAACAGAATGGCTAACAGAAAGGAGGAAAGAGGAGACTAGGTAAAGTATGCAGCAAATGATGAGTCAAGCTGACAAACTAGCCAGTGAAACAGAACAGTGATGTTTCCGTTCACTTTGTCCCTAGCTGGATATGTTGGCCAGCAGTTGCAGGCAGGAATTTTAAGCGCTGCTCAGCCAGGTGCCTGTCAACAATGTCAATTTTCACTTGTTTAGGTTGGATGGTTTTGGGTAGAGGAATTGTCCAAATCAGAGGATGTTTGCTCCTGCAGCAGTTGCTCTGTTAATACCTTGAACTTGTTAAATATCGCCAGGGTCCTGGGGTTTGTGGAAAGCATTCACGTTCTCGGCTCTGTCAGCCTTTATCTAGTAAGGTACGTGCTGCTTTATGATGCCTCTGTCAGCCAGATATGTTTAATCTTGTTTCTGACTGGTTTTACTATTTAGGTGTGGTGTGTTCAGAATGTCCCTGTTCTTCTAATGTGAGTGATTATCTTTCTCCTCCAGGTGTGTCTAGTAAAACATAGGATTAGTACTTGGTGATGCTTATGGTTGGCTGAAGTCTGTGTAGGTTTGGCAGGCTGGTTATGTAAGTCTGAAACTGCTCTTTCTTCTGTTGTATCAGCCTGTTCAGCATTAATGGTGAGGCTGTGCTGCACATAGTAGGTAGGTGCCCAACAGGCTGAGGCAGGGATGATCGTCTGGCAAAAGGAGTCCATTGTGGGATGCAAACTTGGATCGAGGTGAATCTGCAGGCACTGAAGAGGTACGTAGTATCTAAACGTGGAATGTGCAAAGGTTTCAGGAGTGTATTTATTTAGGCTGGATTGATCCTGCTGTATAATAATGAGGCTTTAGCATACAGATCTTCCCCGGTATGATCTCAGATGTTGCTGCTATAAACTGTCCCGGCATTGTTCTGTATTGGATATGAATTGTAGTGCTGCTTTGGTGTAGCTGAAACCCTCAAAGGTAAAGTAATTTCTTGGGGAGCAGGGGGTGAGGGACTGCTCGGGGACTGTGTGGTAGCTAGGAAAGCACTGTGGAATGCAAAAGCTGAAACACCTCTGAGACAGACGCTTGGAAGATTTTCTTTTTCCTTGGTGTGCAATACCTAAAGCCTGCCTATTTAATTATACCCTTGGAAAACTTACTTCCTTGTGCTTCTGATAAGTTGACAGGAGTTTAGGCAGAGATGTTCTGACCTATCAGCTTATGCAAGTTTTAGTGAAATCAACTTGCCTTTAAACTTGAATAAAGCACTCTTCCAAAATCTCAGTATCGATGCCTTCCATGCATCGGAGTTAACTATACTGTAAGAAAATCACCTGTTTCTGAGCTCCAACTGGAAAGTTCTGCAACTCGAGGTATATATGAAGGAACTTGGATCCTTCTTCACCAAGACTGCTCTGACAGTACTTCCTTTCTAGTTATGACTGTTTCTGTCTATAAACTCCTTCACTCAGTTCATGTGTTCTGTGCGCAGCCTTCAGTGAGGCTACATGACAGAACTGACTTAGCAAATGAAGCTTCTTCACAGTAAGCACTTCCCTGCTGACAAAGACACTGGAGTTCAACTTCTGAAAAGAGCAGAAGCTTGAAATCTCTGCAGTCTGCCTGCTGGTCCTGTGGAGCTTGGTCTGGTCTTGGTCACAAGGGAGGTAACTATTTTTGGCCAGCTGTCTTCATGCAAGGATTGTTCCTAGCCTTATGCCAGAATAACACCCTCCATGTAAATCATTCTGTTCTGCCTATGTGCTTGTTGAGTCTGTTCCAGCTACCTGCTTGGTTTCTATATAGTGGTTGGAATCACAGTCCCTATGGGAAGAATCCTACCGTGCAGGGGAGCGTCAAGTGACAGATGGCCCCTGAGAATCTGACTTCTCAGAGTTAGTCTGCTGTTGTCATCAACCCCAGCAGCAAAACTGCTTGCTGTAATCCAGAAGGGAGAGTGTTGCAATAAGAATCGCAATCTAAAATGATTACAAAATGGAGTTCACAAAATAAAGATGACATTTGCATCTTGATGCAGAACTGTCTTTCAGGAACTAGAAATGGATTATATGCATGGGAAATCTGGGTGAGGAGGGATGCAACTTTCCCACCTACTGTCTCAGGTTTTTGGTGGGCAATTTTCCTTTTTACTGTAGATGCTGGGAGTAAGATTAGATAAGACATGGCAAATTCCAGCTTCTGTAAAGGTGGCCCCTAGTTTTATTGTTCTTCTCCTGGGACTTGAACAGGGTCTCCACTGCTGCCAGGAGGAGTGGGGACTTGCTATGAATGTCCTTTTCTTCCTCCAGTGACCCTGTCGTTGTTACTGGAAGGCAGGAGATTTCCTGCTCCACCCTACCAGGATTTAATTGCTGACACGGAGCTGTAATAGACTATCATGGGACACTCAGATGATTTTTTTAGCTGTCTTGTAGGTGCACAATGTAAAGGGAGATTTCCTACCCCATGTAACTGGTAAATAAAATTAGGGAGCCTGCTGTGCTAATTCCTTGTTGGTTTCCTTCCTAGCTATCTTGAGATACAAATCAAAGTGAGCACAAGGTTAATTTCTTCTCACAAGAAATTAGGCATTTCCTGGATTGGGCAAAACTAGCAACGCAGCACTACAACTCAAGTCTGCAAATGCCTTAGCCATGAGACCCTAATTCCTGAAAAGAGATCTTCCCTATTTCATAAGCCTAATAGGGGTAACTATGAAGGGCCTGACAATTCCTGCAAAAGTTTCCCTACCAAGAGCGATGAAGCACTGGAGGGAGGAAGAAGGATCTTCGGGGAGAAGTGGTATCTAGGCAAGAGAAGGAAAGAGAGAAATATATATTTTTTTCCTTTGGTGTGGGGTAGGAGGAGTAAGGAGTTGTTCAGAAAAGAACTGCTTCCTATTTAAACAATATCAGTGTTTTCACTGCATGTTCCTGAAAAGAAAAGAGGAATAGGATCTTACACAGCATTTATGGAGAGGAATGAATGGTATAGCAGCATTTGTGTTACCTCTTAGATGTAGTTTAGCAGTCACTACAAAAGCTTTCCATCACATCGGGCGGGAGTGTTTAAGAAATGTGTACTTGCTGGGAGACTGCCGTTAGACTCTCATGGAGCCTTAGGGTGGTGTGTAGTGAGACCTCTGGCTCCCAAAGCCCCCTCTGGGTTATGAGTGGTAGAACTGAAGCTGTGCTCACCTGCAAGCATAGTTGAATTTCAGAAGCTGAGCCATGTCAAAGTTAACTGTTCCAGCAGATGACTGCAGTAGCTTTTGATGTTCCCCTTTTGCAAAGCTTTCCAGGTTTTCTCTTATTTGGACTGTAGAAGTGCAGGACTCCTTCCTCAGTCCGATCATGGTGGGAGGGATGCAGAGGGTGACAGGGAGGGCATGTGTGTTCTTGTCTTGTTTGTTTTCCCTTGTGGTCCGGCAGTACGTCAGTGGTCCTGCCCTGGCTCTCAAACCTTTCAGTAGCTGAACTTCCTAGTTTCTCTATGAATTGCTCTCCTAGCCTGGTGTAGTAGGGGTCCTGACAAAAACCCCAAACAAACAAAAGAGGAAAAAAAATCAGGTATCTATCCTGTTTTGGTGCTTCTGAAGAGGGAGGGAATGGATGGGTAAGGGGGCTGGGATAGTATAAGGCTCCTGTCAGTAGTGATTAAAGGCCTCTGTCGGAGCTATGGATTCTCCTGCAGAAAATATGATATAAATATATGAAATGGGTTTGACTTTGATTTTTCTTGTCTGTGTAGACAAACTGAGGAGACATACATCGCCAGGAACTGTGATTCAGGGAGCTGTTTAAATGCTGGCTTCATTTGAGGTGTTCTGAAGTGCAGGGGGTGTAAAGAAAACTTCTGTACCCTGCTTTATCCTGGAATTAGTATTTCTGTCATATGCACAGACAGCTTTTCTCAAATGTATCTTGCAAATGGACTCTCTTCTCCCTGGGATGGATGTATTCAGAGAAGGAAGCTGAGGCATGACTGAAATTCCTTGCCTAGAGCCTTGCAGCAAGCTAGCAACAGGACTGGGTGGGGGGCTCTGAACACCTTGTCACTCATTCTAGCTGCTCAGGTGCTGTTCAGAAGATGTTCAGTTTTGCCTGTTCTTCCCTGTCCCTGTGAATGTGTAATCCTCTTGCCCTAATCTGCTCAATGCAGTCCATTCTGCAGAGGCATGCCAGCCACTTTGCTAGTGCTCTGCAGCCTAACAGGACAGTAGTTTCTTCTGACAGTGCTGTATATGGCTATTTTCATCCCCTTTTTCTGCATCCTGTGCCGGGATTGCATGAGTTTAGTGGTTGATAAATTAATAGATTTGCTGTTCTGCCTTGTTTTACTGAACTTCTAAAACAGGTATTGCCACTTTCTCTCTCAAAATTCCCCACTCAGGAAAAAAAAAAAATGCTTATAACTACCCCAGTCTGTCTTTTGTGACAGACTAATGTAGTATTGGAACTGGATGGGCAGAAGGGCAAACGCTTCTTCAGAGATGGCTGTCATCTTTCAGTCTTTACTGAACTTCTAAAACAGGTATTGCCACTTTCTCTCTCAAAATTCCCCAAAAAAAAAAAATGCTTATAACTACCCCAGTCTGTCTTTTGTGACAGACTACAGACTTATTGGAACTGGATGGGCAGAAGGGCAAACGCTTCTTCAGGGATGGCTGTCATCTTTCAGTCTATCACCTCTAGTTGCTTGCAGCCTTCCCAGGTAACACGAAGTCAAAGCTGGCATTTTACCATTTATTGTTATAAGCAGCAAACCAGGGAATAGAGTTCTGTATTTAGTGTCTCTAGGGAGTGTGGTGCTTTTTGAGTTCATATTAGGAAGGGCTTCCTTTGCGGTTCTGTGCTCTAAGTTCATTTTAAATATAAACTTGAATTCTACCAAAGCAGGTGGTGTGGGCGCCCCACTTGTCAAAGAAAGCTTTCTCCCAGCCAGTGGTATATAGAAACGTGCTATCGACCCTGCAGTCCCCCAGGGTTTGTTGGGACTCTCTGTACAAATGATATCCTATGGGTTGGGGAAACATGATTGAACTTTTGCTCTTCCTCCTTTACAATTGAATTAATGGGAGTTTCAAAATGGCTGAAAGATTAGTGCTTGTCCTACTCCTGAACTTTGCTAGCAAGTATGATGTGCTATTACTGCTTTTTCACCATCATTAGAACAAGTCAAATGACTTCACGTTCTTTGCTTGTGTTGCCTGTCAGATAGGGGAATTTTGTGAGCTCACAGTTATCCATGGATCAGTCAGGCTTCCGGGCTTTCTATGGCTTGTTGAAGAATGTGCTTGAAGCTTCATCTGGAAGTCTGAAGGACAAAACAAGCACTGCCATAAGACTTCTGCTTCCCAGAACCTTTTGGTTTCCTTTGTGACACTTAAATCCCAGCTGAGATGAACTCTAGGTGGGAGTGGATGGTCAGGGAAATGAATTCTTCTTTTAAGTATGTCTCCCCTTTCCTCTACTTCTGAAGTAAATAAGGCAAAGAGCAGCTGTTACAGGATTTCAGTACTGAATCTATCAGAGGGCAAGTAACTAATATTTTCTTGGAAAATTAATGCAAAGAGGGGAAGCTAAAACTACTTACATGGAAGGAAAAGTTATGCTATCAAGCAACTTTGTTCTCTTTCCCAGCTTGCTTTATCAATGTGAGTTGCATCAATGGAGTGGTTCTACGAAATATAACTATTGTATGTAAATCCTCTTCCTGGCCCCTGCAGTTTGAGAACCACACAAATGCAGAATTATTATTTTCTAGCTCTGTAAAAACAGTAACAAACTCATGACAACTATGCTCTGTGCCTGGATTTTATCACTTCTAACAGTGCTGGCAAACTCCTCCATCCCTGAAATAAAATCCCTAGATAAAACAGTAAACTTCCAAGTACTGGTCTGGCCGGGGTAGTTTGTCTGTCCTGCGAGCTTTCTTTAAGTGTGAATGTCTTGCCCCAGAGACTGCTAATGATAAGTACCAGTTCTGATGTTTTGTGACAATTCATCTGTCAGGGAAGACAGCAACAAACTAACTTCACAGCCTCACCTGTAGCAAATTATTTGCAGGAAGCCTCATTCATTTGTCTCCAAGTGATGTGAAATTGGGCCTCAGCTAATTCCAGTCTTGCTGTGTCAGCTCTTAAAACATGAGTTTCCTGATGCCCTCTTGAAGAGCAGAACAAAACAGTTTAAGCTAGTAATGCCTGCTTCTGGTTTCCTTTCAGGTGAATCATGATTCCAGTCACTGAATTGCGCTACTTCGCTGACACTCAGCCAGCATACCGCATCCTGAAGCCATGGTGGGACGTCTTCACGGACTACATTTCCATAGTGATGCTGATGATTGCAGTGTTTGGAGGGACGCTTCAGGTCACCCAGGACAAAATGATTTGTTTGCCCTGTAAATGGGTTACTAAAGACTCTTGCAATGACTCAGTCAGAGGTTGGACAGCTGCAACCCCAGAGCGTACCTACTATAATTCTAGTCTTGTTCCCTCTACTGATACAGGGCCTACAGGGATCCGATATGATTTGGACCGGCACCAGTATAACTATGTGGATGCGGTGTGTTATGAGAACCGTCTTCACTGGTTTGCCAAGTATTTTCCTTATCTGGTGCTGCTACATACTCTCATCTTCCTGGCTTGTAGCAACTTCTGGTTCAAATTCCCAAGGACCAGCTCCAAGCTGGAGCATTTTGTGTCTATTTTGCTTAAGTGTTTTGACTCTCCATGGACAACGAGGGCATTATCTGAGACAGTGGTGGAAGAGAGTGATACCAAGCCAGCATTTGGGAAAATGAATGGCTCCATGGACAAGAAATCCTCCACAGTCAGTGAGGATGTGGAAGCCACTGTTCCCATGCTGCAGAGAACAAAGTCTCGAATTGAGCAAGGGATTGTGGACCGGTCTGAGACTGGTGTCTTGGACAAGAAGGAAGGTGAACAGGCCAAAGCACTCTTTGAAAAAGTGAAAAAGTTCCGCACGCATGTGGAAGAGGGAGATATAGTTTATCGCCTGTATATGAGACAGACCATCATCAAAGTGATCAAGTTCATTCTGATCATCTGCTATACTGTTTACTATGTCAACAACATAACGTTTGATGTTGACTGTAAAGTGGACATCGAGAGCTTGACTGGCTACAGGATGTACCGCTGTGCTCATCCTTTGGCCACTCTCTTCAAAATCTTGGCATCTTTCTACATCAGTTTGGTGATATTCTATGGCTTGATCTGCATGTACACACTCTGGTGGATGCTGAGGCGATCACTCAAGAAATACTCCTTTGAGTCCATCCGGGAGGAGAGCAGTTACAGTGACATTCCTGATGTGAAAAATGACTTCGCTTTTATGCTCCATCTGATCGATCAGTATGACCCACTGTACTCCAAGCGCTTTGCTGTCTTTCTGTCGGAGGTGAGTGAGAACAAACTGCGGCAGCTGAACCTCAACAATGAGTGGACTTTGGAGAAGCTGCGCCAGAGGATCACCAAGAACTCCCAGGATAAGCTGGAACTGCATCTTTTCATGTTGAGTGGCATTCCTGACACGGTCTTTGACCTCATTGAGCTGGAGGTCTTGAAGCTGGAGCTTATCCCTGATGTCACTATTCCCCCAAGCATTGCTCAGCTCACCAGCCTTAAGGAACTGTGGCTCTACCACACAGCTGCCAAAATCGAGGCTCCCGCCCTTGCCTTCTTAAGGGAGAATTTGAAATCTCTCCACATCAAGTTCACAGACATCAAGGAGATTCCTCTTTGGATTTATAGCCTGAAGACCCTAGAGGAGCTTCATCTGACAGGGAATTTGAGTGCTGAAAACAACCGGTACATTGTGATAGATGGATTGAGAGAGCTGAAGAGGCTGAAGGTGTTAAGGTTGAAGAGTAACCTCACCAAGCTGCCACAGGTGGTAACAGATGTTGGTGTGCATCTTCAGAAGCTTTCCATCAACAATGAGGGCACCAAGCTCATTGTTCTCAACAGCCTTAAGAAAATGGTCAACTTGACAGAGCTTGAGCTGATCCGTTGTGACTTGGAACGCATTCCTCACTCTATCTTTAGCCTCCACAATCTGCAGGAGATAGACCTGAAGGACAATAACCTAAAGACCATTGAGGAAATCATCAGCTTCCAGCACTTACATCGTCTCACTTGCCTTAAATTGTGGTACAACCACATTGCCTACATCCCCATGCAAATAGGCAACCTAACCAATTTAGAACGCCTTTACCTGAATCGTAACAAGATAGAAAAGATCCCTACCCAGCTCTTCTATTGCCGAAAACTTCGGTACTTGGATCTTAGCCACAACAACCTGACTTCCATACCGCCAGACGTTGGACTCCTTCAAAATCTGCAGAACCTAGCTGTGACAGCCAACAGGGTAAGTGGGCAAGGAGCTGAGCATTGCTGCGTGAGTAAAAGTAACTCTGGCACTTCTGTTACCTGTGTGACTAAACATGCTATAATGGTTTGAAATACTCCTGGCGCTGCCATTCTATTTAAATTCTCAAGCTTTTGTCTCTCTCAGGGGTTTATCTAAGGTGAAACATAGCAAATAACTCAGGGGCAAGCCTTTCTTCCAACAGCCCTTGTTCTGTAGCATTTCCTCTCTTAACAGCGAAACTGCTACTAAGTGGCAATTGGAGGCTGTTTAGAAATTCTGCCTGTCAGTTGCTTCTCTGCAGTCGGAAGCTTGCAGTCTCTAGCTTGACATCAGTTTTGGGCTTAAAATGGAGATCTGAGAAACTGTAGTCTTAATCTAGAACTATGCACGTAAGCCTATACTTCAGCCATGTACATACACTATGGCAGCAGCCATCTAGGGCGTGTGTGTGTGGCTTACAGCTTTGCTGATAGTACTTTGCATTTCCAGGGAATATTCCATAGTTTGGTCTTGTAAGCATGCACTTTTTGTGAGAAGTTGGATATGGACAGACTTATGAAAAATGGTTCTTAAGCTCTCACTTTTAAAATGCATTGTCTCATTCCACAAAGGTGACTTTGGAGAGAGCAAAGCAATCTCCCGCCGTGTCCTTACTCAGGGCAGAGTGAACTAAACCAGGTTTATCAATTGGCAGTCAGTTTGATGTGAAAGTGTGAACTGTGGCAATTCCTTGACTTTCAGAGAGGAGGAAATACGATGGCACCTTGCTATGCCTCAGTATGATGGCTGTGGGTTTTCTTGTGTAATTCCAGATAGGTTAAGTCTAAGTCTTAACTGTCTAAGCCTGTCTAAGCGCAGGGCAGGTTAGAGGGGATGACCAAGTGTGCTATGCTGCCTGATTACCACAAGTTGTTTCTTGGCTTGTGTTGGAGGGTGTTTACTTGCTTAAAGCAAACTGTACCCATGTTTTTTCCTGAATCTTTGTTCCTGTGTTTGGAATTAAGGAGACTTCGCTTACCATGTGTCACAAAGATCAGTCTGTGACTGCACAGACTGGTGTGCTGAGCTGAATGTTTTGTTGAAGCTCTCGTTCATTCTGTCTGCAAATGCCTGGGATGCTCTTTTTCTCTTGGAGTTTATTACCACCTGAAGTTGCAAAAGGCTCTAACATAACTACAAATTGCAGACAGATCTAATTATTGGCTTCTGGGTTCTTCCGGGAATGTGCAGTAGAATTGTCCTGGGGCAGTCCTAGTTTTCACTGTCATATATCAAGATCCTTACTGCTATTGGCAAGATGTATTCATAACTGAACGCTGTCAAATTGCCTGTGAGAGGCAGACAGAGCAGCCCTAGTATGGTTTGCCTTTTCACAGGGGAAACACTCTCAAATCAAGTATTTAATTGCTAATGCAGATCAGTATTACACAGGGTTCCTAAAACTCCAGCCAGCGTTCTGAAGTTAGTGTTTGAAAGTTCAAGTCTGTTGTGCCACTGAAGAGTAACAGCAGACAAGCAGCAGCCATTCAGCTATCCCAGTTTAATAGCTGCTCACTCAGTTTTCCCAGCACTAACAGGCTGGATGGCTGTGCATCTCTCTGTATGGGTGGCTGAAGCTCTGGTAAACTTCATGGTATGCACGCATCATTTCCTATTAAGTTAAAAGCCAAAATATTTTCTTGGGGCAAGCGGGGCTGATATGGGTAGCTTCTGAGGATGACATTAAGCAAAGATGAGGGAGTTTTAAGCCACTGTTCAGAACTTGGATAAGAATCTTTAATTCTGTACCATTTGCCTTCTGGCAACCTTCCTAGCACAGCTTCCCGAGGGTTAATCTGCAATGTATCCTCTGTGGTCTTGGGGTGGAGCCTCTCTTGGATGAAAAGGAGTTAGAGGCAGCTCCATTTTCTGCAGCACAGTGTGGCACCACCCATTTCTCTGAAAAAACGCTAATGCAACAGGAAGGCTGGAGCAGCCTTTGCTCCAGCGTGTTCTGAAGCAAAAGGTGGTGAGGACCCAGTGAAACAGCTAAGCTGTTTGTATCCTCTGCCAGGTGCCTGGCCAAGGCCACAGTTGCCCTGGGGCTCTGACAGCCTGGTTACTTACAGTAAACAGTGACAGCAGGAAACACAAGGACTGGTAGGCTGGCATTTCCCAAGGCCAGGAATTATCTCAGATGTCCTCTCCTAGCTCAGCAGTCTTAGCAAATAGAGACTTCTGGAGTTGGCTGGTAGCAGTGTACCATTCTGGGAAGCAGGCTGTATTATATCACAGTTTCCTTCCTAACCCAATACTTGTCCCTTTAACACTATTATGTTCAAGACTCTGATCATTTGATTGCATGTTGCTGTTTGCAAAACACTCGACAGTATCAGTAACGATGACTGAATTGAACTGTCTTTAATTGGTCTGGTCTCATCTTGGCTTTTCCTTGGACTCCATCTCATTCAGAACTGATTACAGTCTAACTTAGCCGTGAATGATGTCATGCATAATTTAAATTTTAAAAAGGACACGGTTGCATTTAAAGGCAAGTGATAGCCTCCAAGATGAGACTTTGAATTAAGGGGAGAATACTGAATTGCTATGTTTAGTTCATAGCCCAGTGTTTGTTAAACCTTAGCCATATTGTTTTCTTAGAAATTCTTTGGGAGGACTGGACTATTAAAAGGCTTTAATAGAAATAAGCCTTATTAAATTGGTGATTCATGGATACATGAAGGTAGTGGTGGGAAAGCTAACAGCTGGTGGCTTCACTTTTTTGGTTGCATTTTGGTACTGTCAAAACCTGTGCTTTGGAGCCTAGAAAGTCCGTGCAATGTTTCAAAGCCCTACAGAAATGATGGAAGAATAGCCCTAGTTCTCAGGGCCTGGAGATCATACCCACGTAGCCTCTGCTCTTATTACAGCAAAACTAGGAGTACTGACTAAATCAGTCTTTATGGTGTTCAGTATAATACCAATTGTACAATAGCTACTTAAGGCAAAGGGGCTATGATCCAATGATGGTGTAAAGGGTTTGGGATGGAAAGAAGCTAATACTGATGGGAGCACGTGACTGTATAGGCCAGCCGTGAGCAGGCTTTTGGTCTTCTAATCCTGTCCTTGGTGATGTTTTCTGCTTTAGCCACCATCATTGGTGATCTTTTGTAACTAATGCAATAGAGTGTCTGAAAGAGGAATCCATACAATCATGGTGTAGTGACTTTTACTTTGGGAACAGTCCTTATGGTGAAAAGCAGGAGCTCACTCAAGGGAGAAGTGGATGATCGAAAACAAGTGCTCTGTAGACCTTGAAGCATTGTGTGGGCTTGTTGATCTCTTATGAGTGTGTGTCCTGTTTGCTGGTGACTTTGCCTGTGATTGATGTCTTTTTTTTTTTTCAGATTGAGAGTCTCCCACCAGAGCTGTTCCAGTGCAGGAAGCTGAGAACCTTGAACCTGGGAAACAATGTGCTGCAGTCACTTCCATCCCGGGTTGGAGAGCTGACAAATCTGTCGCAGATAGAGCTAAGAGGGAACCGCTTGGAGTGCCTGCCTGTGGAGCTGGGAGAATGTCCTCTGCTGAAACGCAGTGGGCTTGTGGTAGAGGAGGACCTGTTCAACACATTGCCCTTGGAAGTCAAAGAGCGGCTGTGGAGGGCAGACAAAGAACAAGCCTGAACCCCTGAAAAAAGGGAAAAGCCTCTGACCAACTAGAAGGAAACAAAAGGCCACTCCAGTCCCCTTTTCCCCAGATCCTCCCCTTTCTCCCCTCTGACTACCAGACTAGCCAAGGAGTCCCTGAACAAACATGACTCTGAGGTGGCTTCTTACCTCAGATGCAGGATGGGGGAAGCTTGGGATCAGGATGAGGATTAACACAGATCAGTTGGCCTCTGAGCAAGGGCCAGTGGGAGTAAGAGGTGTTGCTGCTGTTCTGGACAGGAAGTGGGGTGAGGTGGATGGTGCTGGTGAGAAGAAACAACCTTTGGATGGAGGAGAAAATGAAATGTGGGGATTGCTGCGTTGCTCCAAATGGGGCTTATGCGTATCAGGGACTGAGAGTGTCCAGTGTCCTGCAAGCAAAGATCAAGAGACTAGGAAACCTCTTGAACCTCCATCTCTTTCTGTGACACCTGGTACTGTTCCCCTCTGACTTAGATCCAGTCAGTGAGGTCCCGCAGTGGGGTGGGATAGGATACAGACAGCTGATTTTATCTAGATGCTGGCATTAGGATTTGGGGGATAAGTTTATCACAGGCATCAGCTTGAATGCAGGATCTTTATTTTACCAATTGTCTTTTCCCTTTGCACTCCATACCTTCTCCACTGCTCCTGGAGAAGGAACCAAACCCCCTAAACTCACTCTGCTCATTTAAGATTGCACTATTTTAACAGTCACTTGTGCTGATGAGTAGATCACATAGCATCCTTCTCCAGCTGATGTGCTGGAGGCACTAACTGACATAATTTCAGAGCTTTAGCCTGTTCTGAAATGGATGGTTATAGTGCAAATGGGAGAAAGATCTAGATAAAAAGCAGTCAGACTGTCTAATCTACTCTCCCAGAAGCATTGAGTTGCTTCAGGATCTGGCTTTTAAAGTTTTTAAGCTACTTTTTAAATTCCTGGTATTTTGTCATGTATCAAATATGAACATACAACTGGCCAGTGTGTTGGGGTGTCTCCTGGGGTTGGTGGTGTTAGTAAAGAGGAACACTCAGGTTTCCTCTGCACCTCTTGCCCGCCCCCCCCCCC